ATCTGATGAGCTCCAAAGCATTTATGACTCAAGTGATGAGGATGAAGAGGTCCAAAGTATCCAGAGTCTAATCCTGATACTGACATGACCAATGTTGAATTTAATGTGGGCATGTTATTTGGTTCGACGACAGAATTTAGGGTTGCAGCGAGAGAGTATGCAATAAAGAATCGTAAGAATGTAAAGTTTGTCAAGAATGAGAAAACAAGGGTGAAGGCAGTGTGTAGGGAGAGATGTAGATGGATGATATTTGCTTATAATATGTAGAACCAGAACACTTTGCAAGTGAAGACATATAGGAAAGAACATAATTGTAGAAGGGTGTTTCAGAACAAGCATGCTAACTCTAGGTGGCTGTCAAAAAGGTATATGGATAGCATTAAGAGAAACCCTAAACTCTCAATTGAATCTTTTCAAGACAAGTTGAAGAGGATTATATGGTTGGAGAATCTAAGAGTCAATTATGCAAGGCCAAGAGAGGCTTTAACCATCATACATAGTACTAACAATGAACAATATAATCAACTTTGGGATTACTGTGAAGAGTTGAGGAAAACATATCCTGACACAACCATTATCCTGAAGTCAACTCCTCCTGAACACCCTGGGGACCCTACTAATCAATCTACCTTTGAGAGATTGTACATTTTCCTTGGAGCCTGCAAGAGGGGTTTTGTAATGTAACGACCCCAAAATGCGTATAAGGAATTATCTTTATTTACCTATGGGTTAATGTGCTCTAATTTAACTATATCTGTTCAAATTGAAGAATTATCTGTTGAGTTACAACTTTAAAACTGGAATTGACGACCTTTATGGGTTCAGAAATCGGAATTGAGTACATAGATATGTTAATGGAAATTTTTAGAGCTATTTGGGAAAATTAATTAGAAATTTATTTCGTCAGATTCGTTAAAGTATGTTTAGTTGGTTAACTTTGTACTGCAAATTGAAGGCCTTAGAGACTTCAGAAACCAGAATAGAGTACATATTTATGATCAGCATAATTTTTAGAGTCATCTGGGAATTTAATTGAAATTTGATTTTGTACGATTCGTAAGGGTGCGTTTGGCTCTTCTAATTTGTGATAAGCTTATATATAATTAAATGTATAGATGTATATGAGATATATGTGTTAAACTCATCTCTTGGAGCCCAAAAATATCTAGGAGAGGGGAAGACACATGAGAGAGAGGGGGAGAGAGAGTTCTAGAGAGAACTCAAAGAGAAGAAGGGAGAAAGGGTAGGAATGAAAGAGGAAATCAAAGATTTGGCTTGAATTCATCATGGTTATGCAAGCACAAGTGATGGTAAAGGCTTAAGGTAAGATTCTCCCTCTCAATACTTGAAGATCATAAGCTAAAGAGTGAGTTTCTTGGGTTATCTATGATTGTATGTATGGGTTTTGTTTCTTCAAACAAGAAGATGTTGAATCTTTGTATATTTCTAAATTTTGACTAAAAAATCTTACTTCAAGAGTCTCCTCTCATAAGGAAGAGTCTCATTGAAAGTTTGAGAATATTATGAAAGTCTATTCCTATTTATAGGAAAAGATTTTTCAAAGAGAACCTACAAAATTCTATGTGGGATTCAATCAAATTATTTGAAACATATTGATTGGAGGGAGAGTTGAAAATTTCATTTCCCTCTAAAATTAAATCTAGCATTCAATCAATTTATTTGGAGGGAATGTTTAAAAAATTTAATTTCTTTAAAATAAGTGACTTTTTTTAATCAATTATGACTTTATTAAATATTATTAATAAATACTATGCATCAATTTTTATTTTTATTTGATTATTTATATATATTTTTATTTATTTATAATTTATAATTACATTTTTTAATTATATAATATTAATTATGACGTCACGGTTTGACCGCTTTGATCTGACGGTTGAACTGGTGACTCGTCCACCCGGTCCCTTTTCCGGTTTGCTCACCGGTCCAGTTTTGAAAACATTGCTCCTAAGGTGGTTACTACCAATCACGTAATTAAAAAGGACCAAACAGTTACACATGAGTCATTAAACAAACTCAATTTAAATTAAATCTAAGTCATGGGTCCCACCCATAAGCTAAACATGGTCTAATTATATACCAAAATAGACCCAACAATTTATCTCAAATCATGGTCCAAACACCTAAAACTCAAATTTCAAATTCTGCTATAAATTAAACTGAACACCAATTAGTCTGCAAATTTTCATAAAATAAATACTCACCATTAAATTCCAAAATTCTTATCCAACATGCTAGACTCTTATAAAAACAACATAATAAAAATTTCATGATTTCTAAGATCGAAATTTTATATTTAAAAAAAAAGTTTATTAAAAAATTGAACCATTTTCACACATAACTTTACACAACACTCCAATCCAAATATTACTCAATTAGTTTATACACTGACTATTTAAAAATATATATTTTTGGGTCATCACAGCTTGTAAGTAGAGAAACGATAAAATTACGAGAAGGCATGAACTGTAACGAAAATCCATTAGAGGAAGAGAGAGAGACATATATATATATATATAGAGAGAGAGAGAGAGAGAGAGAGAGAATTTGGAGTTGTGATGATTCTGTGATCTGTGGTTTTAGTAAGCAAATTGGGGAAGATGGGAAAGGAGGTAAAGGAGAAGAAATCAAACTTGTTAGGTTTTTATTCTTGGCATTTCCGTTTGACAAAACTCCTTTTAGTTGTAATTGTACTCGATCTTTTATTTCAGTGAGGCTATGAGTTTTAGATGCGAATCCAACCCAAAGTGTGCCTATGCAGAGGAGTTTGTGATCTTAATTCTATCATGTTTGCCACTTCGCTGACTGTAAAAATACTGAGAAGTTACATTTCTCGCTCGAGCGACACTTTGGTGGCTCGAGCGATGACACTTGGAAAAACACGCGTTTTAGTCTCCTCACTTGAGCAAGAGATCCTTCTGTTGAGCGACCTTCGCGGCCTGATTTTCTATAAATATGTGTTTCAGTCAAATTTTAGAGTTACGGCTTCCAGATCTTCTTTTTGGGTATTAAGGTTTTCTTCTAGAGATTTTTTGCTTGTTTCCTTTGATATCTGTGAGAATTTAATCATGAATTGAGTGGATTATAGAAAAGGGTTTGTTTAGTTTGTTTTATTCACAAAAGAGAGAGAGTTGTTCCTCAGTGGATTTTGGAGTCGCTCAACGTCGTGGATTTGACATCGGCGTTGTGGATTCAATGTTGGGCAAGACAATTCCGAGGTGAAGACAAGGCTGGAAGAGGCACATAGGGGTCGGTTCAATTCGAGCATGGATTCACTTGTTAGATAATGTCTCAATGGGACCACATAATTAAATGTGGTGTTATCATTTATAAGAAGCCTACAATTTAAGTGATTCAATTTAGTTAATAGGCTTAAGGGTATATGTGTTATGGACCTAATGTGTAGATACTAGTTGTATAATTTCTATTTCTATGAGGGGCAGAAATAGAAATTAAAACATATTGGTTAAAGTTGGTTTTCATTCCTTTTGAACTTCCACAACCTTTCAGTTTTGAAAACCAATAAATAGTAATTAAAACCAATAATGGTTAAAGTTGGTTTTCATTCCTTTTGAACTTCCACAACCTTTTAGTTTTGAAAACCAATTACAACCTTTAAAAGGTTATGGTCCATATTCCTTCCCAAGGGTGAAAAATAAGAACACTGCCATTTTTTTCTTCAAATCCTCTCAAGGAGAAACATAAGGCACCAAAGGGGAAAGGATTAGAAGGCAATAACATAATCAATAACAAAGAGTTCATTGATAATCACGCTTCCATTTAACCGTTCATCAATGGATTCAGGTATGCCATTTTGTCTTGATTTCTTGATAATACACATGGTAAATGATCCAAAGTGTAAGGTTTATGTTCTGAAATTTATGTTTACATCACTAGGTAATTGAGAGTATACTTGTGTAATTCCTTTATATCTTCTTAGTGGATTATTTTGTGGCTTTTGCTCGTGATTTTTTTTATCACAATTAAAGGCACTCCAATTGTGGTTTTTCTACGTAAAATCGTTGTTTCGATTTGTCTTTGATTGTTTGATTGGGATTGCTATTTACTGGCTAAAATTGATATATAATTACAAATCAATATCTCCAGAATTTCAAGATTTTTCAAAATTGATTGAACAATGCGGTATAAAGAAGAAGCGACGACGTTTTTCAACCTGTTCTTCTAGGAATGGAATGAGCTTGAAATGTAGCGGGTTTTGGGCGCTCGAGTTGAGAGACACGAACCTATAAGTAAATCAATGGCTCTTAAATACCCATTTTTATCACGATTTTATTTAAGCCCATTATTGGATTAATAATCTCGCTCAAACCTATAATTCACTTGTCAAACTGAGATCTACTAAATCAATCTTGAAAATGTTAGAGATTCTAAATATTTTATTAAAATTTTTACTACGCGTATATGAACTCCACATTCATGTGAGTGTTTAGTAAAAATTTTGGTAAAATATTTATGGTCTCTAACATTACTTTTTCACTTTTGTCTTTTATAACATTTACCATAAATAATTAGCTAGGATTAAAATCAAGCCTGATATGGAATGTTTTAAAGTTCATGTCTGTGTATCTCATGCGGGTATTTATCGGTCCAAAGACATAATTAAGACTTGGCAGAATTACACACACATTTTGTGGTGATAAACATGTGCCAATTGTCAAGAAAACCTAATGTGAATAATAAATCCATCAAAAGATAGATTTGTTATTTGACATAACTTATTGTCAATGTTTGATCATTACAACAAGAATACCACTTACAATTAATATCACTACCCAAAGGCTTGGTATTAATGTTGTGCTAGGTATCTTGAGATGTTGTTATTAAATTAATTTATTTAGAGATTATCTGTTTGGTAACTTAATGTGAGCATAATCTCTGCCAACATGAACAATGCTCCAATGTTAAACGGAACAAACTTTAAGGACTAGAAATAGAACATATTGATTGTTCTCGGCTGCATGGACATAGACTTGGCATTAAGGATGCCAAAACCAAATGCTCTCACTACACAAAGTACTCCTGAGGAAACTGTGTACTTTGAAAAGTGGGATCGTTCTAACAGGCTAAGTCTTATGATCATGAGGCGTGGGATTCCAGAAGTTTTTCGGGGTGCAATACCAGAGGATGTTACCGTTGCCAGTGAATTTCTTTTAGAAATTCAAAAGCGTTTTGCTAAAAACGATAAGGCTGAAACAAGCACGCTTTTAGCAAGCTTGATTTCAATAAAGTATAAAGGCAAGGGTAATGTTCGCGAGTACATCATGGAAATGTCTCATCTTGCTTCAAAACTTAAGGCACTAAAGCTCGACCTATCTGATGATTTGCTCGTGCATTTAGTTCTCATCTCTCTTCCTACACAATTTAACCAATTTAAGGTCAGTTATAACTGCCAGAAGGAGAAATGGACTCTCAATGAGCTCATTTCATTTTGTGTGCAAGAGGAAGAGAGATTGAAGCAAGAAAGGACTGAAAGTGCTCATCTAGCAAGCACCTCCAAGCATACGGGCAAAAGAGCGCATAAGGGAAAGGAAGTTGCTATTCCTCAGGGTCCGGAACCAAAGAAACAGAAAACGCAGGATGGTTGTTTCTTTTGTGGCAAGCCCGGACACAGAAAGAAGGATTGTGCCAAATACGCCGCCTGGCGTATAAAGAAAGGTCCATTTCATGTTTTGGTCTGTTCTGAAATAAATTTAGCATACGTCGCCTGGCGTGTAAAGAAAGATGCATTTCATGTTTTGGTCTGTTCTGAAATAAATTTAGCTTCAGTACCAAGAAACACTTGGTGGGTAGATTCTGGTGCTACTACTCACATATGTGTTTCTATGTAGGGTTGCCTGAACTACCGAAAGCCAACAGATGCTGAAAGATACATCTTTGTGGGTGATGGCAAGTCGATAGAAGTGCAGGCAATAGCGCACTTTAGATTATTACTGAAAACTGGTTATTATTTGGATTTATTAGACACTTTTGTTGTACCGTCCTTTAGACGGAATTTAATTTTCTGTTTCTGTATTGGACAAATTGGGATATTATTGTTCTTTTGGAAATATGAAGTTTAGTATGTCTATTAATTCCAATGTTGTTGGTACTGGTTTACTTAATGTGTTTGATAATCTATATTTGCTCGAAACTATTGCATCTTATAATGCAATCTTGCACGTGAAATCACGAGGTACAAAGCGTAAATTAACTAAGGAAAATTCAGCCTTGTTATGGCACAAACGCCTAGGTCACATCTCTAAATCTAGAGTTGAGCGCCTTGTGTCTGATGGAATTTTGGACTCTCTTGATATTTCAGATTTTGATGTCTGTGTTGAGTGTATCAAGGGAAAACAGACCAAAATAAAGAAATATGGTGCCCATAGGACTACAGATGTCTTAGAATTAATTCATACGGACATTTGTGGCCCATTCCCTATGGCGTCTTGGAATGGTCAACATTATTTTATCACATTCATAGACGACTATTCCAGATATGGGTATCTATTTCTTATCCATGAGAAATCACAGTCTTTGGACGTATTCAAAAAATTTAAGGCCGAAGTTGAGTTACAACTCAACAAACGTATTGAAAGTGTCAGGTCTGACCGTGGTGGTGAATACTATGGCAGATATGATGGATCAGGTGAACAACGTCCAGGACCGTTTGCAAAAGTCCCTGGGGGTGGCTTAGTGGATAGGGCTAGGCTCTAACAAAGTCAATATTAAGGTTTTATTGACAATCAGACGCTTCCGTTTAACCGTTCATCAATGGATTCAGGTATGTCATTTTGTCTTGATCTCTTGATAATACACATGGTAAATGATCCAAAGTGTAAGGTTTATGTTCTGATATTTTATGTTTACAAGTGGTATCAGAGCGTAATAAACTGAATACTTCATTTCTGCAGAAATTAATCTAATTACATAGATAAAACTCAAGACTGACATAAAGCAGTAATATAAATACAAACTCCCACTAAACCAGAATGTTCTCAAATAGAACAACACCCATCTGAGCAGTGTGCTCATGAAAGACCTTGGGTGGTAGTCCCTTCGTAAGTGGATCCGCTATCATGGAGTTTGTCCCAATGTGCTCTATGGAAATCTGTCCACTCTGCACTCTTTCTTTTACAACTAGGAACTTGATATCAATATGCTTTGATTTTGTCGAGCTCCTGTTGTTATTGGAATATAAAACTGCAGACTTATTGTCACAATATATCTTAAGTGGTCTTTCAGTGCCTTTCAAAACACGCAACCCAGTGACAAAATTCTGCAGCCATATCCCTTGGTTTGATGCCTCATAACATGCTACAAATTCTGCAGCCATGGTAGATGAAGCTATGAGCGTCTGCTTTGCAGACCTCCAAGAAATTGCTCCGCCAGCTAACAGATAAATATAGCCTGATGTGGAATTCCTACTGTCTTGGCATCCAGCAAAATCGGAGTCGGAATATCCAATGACCTCTAACTTATACGATCTCCTATACAGAATCTGATTCCAAGAAACTAAATAGGATGAATAAAAGCATATCTATTCTGATGATACACATGATATAACCGCTCTGATACCACTTGTAAACATAAATTTCAGAACTTCAGGTTTCGGATCATTTACCATGTGTAATATCAAGAAATCAAGACAAAAAAACATACCTGAATCCATCGATGAACGGTTAAACGGAAGCGTCTGATTGTCGAATGTGGAATCGTCCCACAATGCACCATGCCAGGATCACCTAGCATGAATGGTGTATCTGAGAGACGAAATCGGACTCTTAAGGATATGGTAAGAAGTATGATCAGTCATTCTACTTTACCAGAGTCCCTCTGGGGTGAGGCTCTAAAGACAGCAACTTATATCTTAAATCGGGTGCCAACTAAAGTAGCTGCAAAAAAAACACCTTATGAGCTTTGGGTTGGGCGAAAGCCTAGTCTAAAACATTTGCATGTGTGGGGGTGTCCTGCTGAGGCGAGGCCTTATAAACCTCATGAACGAAAATCGGACTCTAAAACCATTAGCAGCTACTTTATTGGCTATGCCGAACGATCACGAGGTTACAAGTTTTATGATCCCACAAATAGGTTTATCTGTTTGGTAACTTAATGTGAGCATAATTGTTTATTCCTTTCAAGTTTTATGATCCCACAAATAGGTCAATATTTGAGACAGGAATTGCAACATTTTTTGAGGATGTTGAGTTTGGGGGGAGAAATCCAGTTAGGGACAGATTTCCTTGAGGAAGAAGCAGAAGTAATCCCACTTCCTACTACTACTTTTGACCAATCACAGGTTCCTATACCTGTCATTGCTCGAGAAGTAATTTCGAATCCTCAACTAGACAATGTTGTTCAAGATAATACAGTTCAAACCCCCATTCAAGATGAGGTAATTGTTCCTGAGGAACCTCAACCTCAACCTCAACCTCAAGAATCTGTGCCCAACCTCAACCTCAACCTCAAGAATTTGTGCCATTAAGGCGACCCACCAGAGAAAGGAGATTTGCATTTTCAGATGATTATATTGTATATCTCCAGGAACATGAGGTAGAAAATGGAATGTCGAAAGATGATCCAATCAACTTTCGTCAAGCCATGGAAAGTTCCAACTCTGATAAGTGGATAGAAGCCATGAATGAAGAATATAAGTCTATGCAAGACAATAAAGTTTGGGAACTTGTCTCATTACCAGTTGGTGCGAAGCCCGTAGGTTGTAAATGGATATTTAAAACCAAAAGGGATTCAAATGGTAATGTGGAGAGGTATAAGGCACGTCTTGTAGCCAAAGGCTTTACTCAAAAAGAAAGAGTGCAGAGTGGACAGATTTCCATAGAGCAGATTAGGACAAACTCCATGATATCGGATCCACTTACGAAGGGACTACCACCCAAGGTCTTTCATGAGCACACTGCTCAGATGGGTGTTGTTCTATTTGAGAACATTCTGGTTTAGTGAGAGTTTGAATTTATATTACTGCTTTATATCAGCCTTGAGTTTTATCTATGCAATTAGATTAATTTCTGCAGAAATGAAATATTCAGTTTATTACGCTCTGTTACGTATTGTGAAGTATTGATCTCAATAAAGTTAAGTAGGACCAGTTGGAAATAGGCATGTATGGATCACATCACATGTAATTTCCATGCTACGCATCCATGATTGATCTATGTCATTTAGCTGCATTAGTATACGTGACCATTGGTTGGGCTGCTGGCCCGCTCCTTTTTCTTTCATTTCTCTTTCTCTTTCTTTACTTTCTCTTTGAATTTCGTTGCTCCTCTCTTTCTTTCTCTTTCCTTTCTTTCTCCCCTCCTTTCTTTTTTTTCTTTTCTTTTATTTAAATTATTTTATTATATAATATAATATAAAATTATTAGATAATGTCTCAATGGGACCACATAATTAAATGTGGTGTTATCATTTATAAGAAGCCTAGAATTTAAGTGAAATACTCACATATATACCCTTAAGCCTATTAACTAAATTTACCAATCTAACAATCTCCCACTGGACCACATATGTTATTAATAATACTGTTTCAGGTCATTTAATGAATTCAATTTAATGAAATACTCACATATATACTGTTTTGTTATTAATAATTAAATGTGGTGTTATCATTTATAATACTGTTAACGGATACATAAGTTTCAGGTCATTTAATGAATTCAATTTACCAAGAGTGAAAAAAACAAGAATACTGTTTTGTTTTCTAAATCCTCTCAAGGAAAAACATAACGCACCAAAGGGGAAAGGATTAGAAGGCAATAACAAAATCAATAACAAAGAGTTCATTGATAATCACGCTTCCGTTTAACCGTTCATCAATGGATTCAGGTATGTCATTTTGTCTTGATTTCTTGATAATACACATGGTAAATGATCCAAAGTGTAAGGTTTATGTTCTGAAATTTATGTTAACAATGGTTGTGTATTTTGGGAGAGTTGTTTTTTTGGGAGTTTGGAATGATTTGATATTTTGGGAGAATTTGAGTAGATGTGTGTGAGAGAAAAAGTGATTGGAAAGGAGAGAGGAGAGAGAAAAAGTGATTGATTGATATGTAAGTGAGAGAAAGTGATTTTGAAATTTTTTTTACAAAAACTAAAACCAAACAATTTTTTAGAAATTTTTTTCTTTAAAACTCGTCTCCCAAATGCAAACCAAACATAAATTTCCGTTTTCCCGCTCTGCTATACAGGTTATACAGAGTATACACCTCAATCTCATAATTTAAAGCTCTTTTCAAAACTTAATTCAAATCAATTTTTTAAATATTTTAAAAATATTTTAATTTTGTGAGAGACAGATAAAGAAGAGAGATAGAGACAGAAGGAGTTATCAACAATTTTTGACGAGCTGTGTGTTTAAAGCTTTAAATAGTTAGCTTGATTTTTTGATTTTCTCTCTTTTCTTCTTTAAAGTGTTATAAGCTCTCTTCTAGTTCCAAAAGAACAAAAATAAGTCCCAAAATATTTAAACTGATTTTTAATTTTAATTTTAATTTAATGAAGTATAAACATGAATATTGCTGGCATTGTTGGCATTGTTTTAGTGGTTATCTTTCAATCAATTTTTATTTTTATTTTATTTATTTACTATTTTTTTAATGAGAAAGTACGAGACTTAATAAATTGCATATCCGATAATAAGTCATCTAATAAACTATATCAGAGCACAAGATAGATCCGAAAAGGGATCTCCGCACATTAAGGATATGAGTCTCCAAATAGATAGAAACAAACATCCACCAGAGAAGAAAAAACCTTCATGAAAGGAGGAATCTTCATGATTTATTTATCGTTGCAATTGGCAATTATGGTACCTAAATTTCTACCTCTACATTACAAAATAAAATATACTTAATTTGAGGTAGTTGTCTAGCGTATAAGTGAATTTAGCAGTTTCAGATCTCGGTCATGAATTAAATTTGAATATATATCTGAAAGCTTGCTCGATGGCAAGCCAACCAATAATAGAGATAAGAAGAGTGGTAGTGATTAGCATAGCGATGATCAAGAAATAAGAAAAGAGAAACCATGACTGAGAAAGAAAAAATGACTAGGGTTTCATTGAAAGTAGCATAACAAGTTTGTTTGTTTATATATTTATTTATTTTTGTGGATGACATGGTTGGTGATTTAACGATACTAGCTAGTCCATCTGTCAAACAAAATTGCTAAAAATTCAAGAAAAAGTTTATTAAATATTATACATAATATTCACAAAAATCTAACTTTTAGGTGTCTTGTGGCAAATTTGACTTTTTTAATTTTTTTAGTCCGAAACTTTTTTGTTCGTTTAGTTTTTTTATTTGATTTTTTTGACTTTTTTACATTGGAATAACAAAATTGCCATCCATTTGAAATGTTGTTTTTTTACTTTTTGTTTGTATATAGATCAATTTAATAATTTTACATCAAAAGTGAACTATTTTATCATTTTGTGATTTTGTGACTTTTTTTTGCCTTTATATGCTTATTTAGGCCTCGTTTGACAAGTTAACATTTTAGTTAAAAAGTTACTAAAAAATTAAAAAATTTATAATCTATACCAAAAAGTCAAAGATTCGATTATCTCTCTATTTTTTGCATATTTTTTCGTAAAAAATTAAAAAATTATCCCAAATATTTTAATTTTTTTATCTTATATTTTAACTAAAAAATTAAAATATTACTAAAATAACCTGTTTCTAAATGAGAAATCAGTCGCCACTCAAAAACCAAGCCGAGGCTTTGCCTTGAGTTCTACCTATTTTTGTCCATCTCGTATACTTAGGAAGATTATATTAAGAAAAGAATTTGGTTAACGTGTATCCACACGCTACATGTTAAAAAATTTAAAATATTATTTTGTACGAAAGTAAGGGCATTCATAGTGGGATAGTCAAAATTATGTGTTAAAGTATGTGTTATATGATAAAAAATGATAAAAGTAGAGTCTAAAAATATTTGTTAAGATGTGTTAAGAGTTTGTTAATTTTAGAGACTGAGTGGTGATGCAATGAATATGTTAAGGGATGTGTTAAATATATATATATATATGTGTGTGTGTATATAATAAATAAAATAAATAAATAATTTAGTTTAATCAAAAATTTGAAGCCCAAAATTAAATTTTAAGTCCAAAAAAAAATCCCAAAAAGTTAAAAAAAATAAAATAAAATAAAATTGAAAAAATCCGTTGACCGAGTCAACCGGCCGGACATCTGACCGGTCAACCCGGAAGACAAAAAAAAGCATCCCTTTGCTAGCTAAAGCGTTAGCCGCAGTTAACAAATAACTTAACAACTGACGTTAACAAAACTCACTAACACACACACTAACACCTCCATTGCAGCCCCAAACACACACCACTGCTAGCCAAAACTTGGCAACTGACACTAACAAACACGTTAGTGTGTCCATTGCGGATGCTCTAAAGGTTCAAGACCATTAACAGAAATTGAGCTAGACCCAGTTCAACATTGTCTTCCAAATAACCTTTAAAACAGGCACAACCACCCAGCTAAACGTCTGTCAGCCCTAAACTCTCTTAGTATATATTTTTTTAAAATCCAAAATAAACCTTTGTCTAAAATTTTTTCTTTCTTTAAAATATTATTTTGTATGAAAGTAAAGCTTCATTTGACAACACTACCATAAGTTAGAAAAACCAAAAGCTTAGGGTCTGTTTGGTAACGTTTACGTTTTCAGTTTATATTTACAAAAATTTTATAAATTGGTTTTTATTTTTTTTTGTTTATTTTTAGAAAAACATAAACTACAAACGCGTTTGGTAATTGACAAAATGTTTTAAAAAATTAAAAAATATAAAAAAGAGTGAAAAATGGAAAGTGGTGGCAACTGGCGGCGGAAGACGGTAGTAGAAAGTGGTAACGGTGGGTAGTGGGTAGCTGGTGGTGGTGGGTGGTGGCGGGTGGTGGGTGGTAGTAAGTGGGAGGTGGTGGTGGTGGTGGTGGTGGTGGTAGTAGCGGGTGGTGGGTGGTGGTTGGTGGTGGCAGGTATTAGGTGATGAGTGGTGGTGGTAGGGGGTGGGTGGCGATGGCAGCTGGCGGATGGTAGTGGGTGGTGGCGGGTAGGTGGTGATGGCGGGTGGGTGGGTAACGATGGCGGGTGGTAGCGAGTAGGTGGTGGTGGTGGCTGCGTAGTGGGTGGGTGGTGGTGGCAGGTGGTGGCGGATGGCCGATGGTGGTGGGGGTGGCGAGTGGTGGTGTGGTGGGTGGGTGGACGACGGGGTGGGTGGTGGATGGTAGCAAGTGGGTGGTGGTTGGTGGGGGTGGGTGGACGACGGTGGTGGATGGTGGGTGGTAGCAAGTGTGGTGGTGGTGGTGGCGGGTGGGTGGCGGGTGGGTGGTAGTAGTGGTGGTGGTGGTGGCGCGGGTGGTGACAAGTGGTGTGGTGGGTGGCTGGTGGTGGATGTGGTGATAGTTGGGTGGTGAGTGGTGTGGTGGTGGCGGGCGGCGGTGGCGACGATGGTTGGGTGGTGGCTGTGCGAGTGGGTGGCAGGTGGTGGTGGCAGGTGGGGTGGTGGTGGCGGGTGGTAGGTGAATGGTGGTGGCAGGTGGGTGGTGAGTGGCGTGGGCAGGTGGCGGTGGGGGGTGGGTGATGGATGATAGTGGCGGAAGACGGGGGTGGAAAATGGGGGCGGGTGGTGGCTAGGGGTGGGGGGTAAAAAAAAAAAACTCAAAACTCAAAACGAAAACACATTTTTTGAGTTTATATTTTTTGGCCAAATTTATAAACTAAGACCACTGATTTATAAATCAAAAATTTACCAAACAAATTTTTATTTGAATTTTTAAATTTTTTATAAATATATAGAGAAAACTGAAAATGTAAGTGTTATCAAACGGAACGTTATCATTTTTTTTTTGTTACAAGAAAATCCTCCCACTCTCCTGCAGGTCCAAGGCAGCGCCCCTTGAGGAGATCACCAGGGTGTCCTGTTGTCCGTTCCGAGTAAGAGACTACAACTTGAAAGCTTGTCCCGACCTCCCAAGGCAAGCTCCGCTGAGGAGATTACTAGGGTGTCCTGTTGTCCGTTCCGAGTAAGAGACTACAACCTGGAAGCTTGTCCCGACCTCCCAAGGCAAGCTCCGCTTAAGTCAGGACTCACACAGCGGGGGAGAATTAAACCCACACCAAGTAACTATCCTTGAGATCAACCTCCTAATCAACTATACTACACTTAGAAGATTAACCCAAAAGAAAGTTGAACCCAGAATCTAGGGGCTTAAATCCTGACTGCCACTCACCCTGGAACCTGTCATTTTACCCTATAAGCTACCAATAAAATTGAAATCACAGGTTGTCTGCAAGAGTTTTGGTAAAATGACCTTTCTACCCTGGCTTTATGTCAACACACCTGCAAGGATGGGCAACAGCAGCAGACTTCAGCTGAAGCTTGTCATCAGTAACTTAAATTAAACAAGATGAATAAGGACACATAACCAGAGCTGGGGAAACAAGGCATCGACACACAAGGCGTGAACAAATTCCGAAACCACCGATGAAAATAGCCGGCGAAGGTCAAAGGAAAGGTATCGGTGCTCCGACAAACACCCCCACTGCAGGTGCGCTCTCATTTCCTTCGACTTACCCAAACGTTTCTCCGATCCTCCATTTCCAGTTTTATTTATTTTTATTTTTTTAATCTTTTTGAAATTAATAAACGGTGTTCGAAGGTTGTTTAAGGGGTAGGTCAGCATCCAAACTTGGGTTGTAACTCCTGTATATGTTTTTCCCAAATCAGCCTAGTGTGGGTTAGAAAAATTTTATGATCGTTGTGTTTTAGGTCGTTTTTTGTTTTCTTTTTCTTTCATGAATCTCCACTTGTTGCTTGTTGCTTGTTGCTTGCCTTCAAAATGGGATTTTGACTTTGTGAAATGGCTAATGTATATGTTAAATATGAAGTAATGGCGGATCTGGAGTTATTTTTGGGAGGGATTTGTTCATACATTTGCTTTTTTTGCAATCCACCTTCGAAATCTTTGTTTATACAGTCCATAATAATAATAATAAAAATTTTACAAAATATATGGCATCCATTTTTGCTTGTTCTACATGTTTGTTCATACCCTATTTTGTACATGTTTGTGTGTGCTATAATTTTTTTGTTTATTGTTTTTATTTTTATTTTTATCATCTCCACTTGTTGGTTGCCATCTCTTTTGTCTGGAAAATGGTTGTTTGACATTGTCAAATGGGTAATATTAATATAAATGTTTCCTGTGAAGTAATGGCGGACCTTGGTTATTTTTTGCTAGGATTTCATAGCTTTTTTTGGGGGTTGTTTATTTATTTATTTTCTGTTCATACCCTGTTTTATACGATTTTGTTCATACCCTATTTGATGGCGCATGTGTTCATACCCTTCCTTTGTCCCATTATAACAGAACTTCTTAACACAACAAAAGATGACTATAACAAAAGTGTCACACCCATTGATCTGTGATTGTTGTTCTTCTCATGTCCCGAAAAAAGGTCATGAAAGACATCATGGCCTCGTTTATGTCATCAGCCACATCAACACAACCAACCCCTATTTGTGCTTGTGGCTATGGGTACTGTATTATCAAGATTTCTAGTTCTGCGAAAAAACCCAAGTCATGGGTACTACCAATGCCCTCGTGGAGTGGTGAGTACAACACCTTCAATGTTTAATTTGCTTTTAAAACTGTCACTAATACAATTTTTAACCTAAGCCATGTGTCATGCGTCAATCCTACCATTATCCTATTAAAAATTGTGACCATTTTGTTTTGTGGGCAATACACTTCTATGTTATGCTTATAAACGTCTATTTATCATATGCTTCCCTCATGTTGTACACCTAGTGTTGGTGTTTATTGTTGATAAAAAAAAGAAAGAAAAGTGTTTGTGGTTGATAATTCTCCTCCATACCAGATTTGACACGTGTCACTTTTACGCTCAAATGTTCATATCGTGTTTGTTGAATTTGTTGTTCTACTTCTATTGTATGTACAACTATTTTTACCTTAACTTGTTGCACGTGACCATTATAGTCACATGGCATCAAACCGATCTTCCTCTCATACCCCTTCCGGAAAAGGGAAAGGGCAACAATGTTATCATAAAGCTATTTGGGATGGAGAGTCTACACGGATCTTCCTACAACTTGTACTTAAAGAAATAGAGACAGGTAACAGGCCACACATGGCAATCAAGCAGAATGGCTACCGGTCTTTATCCAAGACTTTTGAGGTGGCAACTGGGAGGCTGAATGAATATCTCTTTTTGAAATTGTAACTGTTGCATTCTTTAGGGAGGCCCTTGCATGGGGGAAACAATACCATAGCCCATTGGATTAATTGAAACACATAGATCTCTAATGTTAGACCTTAATGGTCTACATTGAATTATAGATAATTGATTGATTATGTTATGGTCCCATTGGATTGACCCTAGTGGTCCTATTAGTTTCCGCATATTGTTGCATTGTTATATTGTTGCTCTACTAGATGTACTACATATAAAGATTTGAACGATTATTGTTTTCACAAGTGTTGATATGATTGGATATATGATTGCTAATCGAATTGTTTGATTATTGAAATGAAATATATGCTTTGTAACATGTTGGATTTCATTCATTAACTCTTTATACTGATGTTACTCATTGAGCTCTAGCTCACCCCCCTGCTTATATATATATGTAAGTGAGCAAGTGGAACGCCAATTTTCAGGCAGCCTCGAAGTCTACCCTTGTGAAGCTATTTTTGAAATGCCTCCGTGATGGGGCGTGCTTGGACTCGAGTGGAGTCAAGTTTTTTACCCCTTTACTTAGTGTTTATTTATTTATTTTTTTGTGGAAGCTATTATGGATGGATGCTATGAATATGAACAAGCAACTAGTTTCATGGAGCCAAGTAATGAACATGATTTTCGTTTGCCTGACTAGTTCCATGTTCAAACTACAAACAAAAGTTTACAGATGTACGGTATTTTGACATCTCTGATTATCAACTAGTATGACACATATATTACAAAAACAATAAGCATGAAGGCTAGAGAAGCTGGAGAATAGGTGAAATAGCCCTTTACAAATGTATAAATGTTGAACAAACATTTGAGTTTTTGGTTGTGAAGATAGGTGAAATATACACAGTAAAAGCATTACCTAGGTGATTTTGTTCATAAAGAAAAATCACAAAGAATTGTCTGATTTGTCGCAATAACAAACATTTGTGATCCTCAGCCATTTCTTGGTAATCCTGAACCATTTGTGATGTCCACATATATATATAAAAACATGTCTATTCCTGCTTTTATGTTCTGAAAAACATGTTTATTCTTGTTTTTATCTTTGATTTTATAGATTGACAAATAATGTTGCAAGTTTAGAACCAAAAACTTGGAACATCGGGAGTTGATGGAGGGCGTCTTCACAGGGGCTACGGCAATGGGTAAATACACATGGATGCCAGGCGAAACTTGTGACCAATTGGAGTTGAAAGGGTAGTCCGACAGTCTTGCAGATTATAGTGACAGTAATGAATGGGTAACTTACGGCAGTCATACAAGTCCAGAAAAGGTAGACAATGTGAACTCCAGCGCCTCTGACAGTGGAAGCAAACAGAAGCATTCATCGGGCAGAAGCATGCAAACGAAGTGCATAACGGGGGGCTGAAGCTTTAGTAAGCAGCATAGATGACTAGGTGAATTCCGTGAAGACACAAAACAAGGAACTAACCGTGAAACACATCGTCAGCACATAGCTACATTATTGCCGAGCCTGTTGCAAGGCTTTACGTAATTGAGGGACTTGACCCTGCCAATCCACTCCTCCATTACGGGATGATGCTGATGGACATTCTGAATAATCAGGAGCTACTTATAAGTATTCCCACGGACCAAGAAATTATCGGGTGGCTGCATGCGAAGAAAGTTGACAAAGCTAGAAGTGGGGGTCCAACCCTTGCGAGTGTGTTGCACAATGAAGGTGTGCGGTTTTGAATCGTTACAATCAACAATTGGATTGTTGATTGTAACGATGTTACACGTTGCAGCCAACTTTCTTTCACTTGAACAGTTGTATTTCAATTTTAGTTATTTTCGTTGGCTCTGCTACAATGGGGCATGGATATTATGCACTGCTTCATAACGTTGTTGCTTATGCACTGTTTAAATTTTTTTTTTTTTTCTAACTTGTTTGGTATTTTCGTTGGTTCTGTTTATGCACAGAGGGTTCTATATTATGCAGTGATGTTTGTTCTATGTTTGTTATGATGTTAGTTTATAAAATATTTTTTAACGAGGTTATGCTTATAAAATATTTTTGTGCTAACCTATATTTGTTTTGATGTTAGTTTAAATATCACGTTCGTTATGATATTATGTTTACAAAATATTTTGTTTATGATGTGTTTATAAAATAATTTTTGTGCTAACCCATGTTTGTTACAATGTCGGTTTAAATATTTTGTTATGATTATGTTTATAAAATATTTTGTGATAACCTATGTTTGTTATGATGTTATGTATATAAATATTTTTTTTATGATGTTATGTTTATAAAATATTTTTGTGGTAACCCATGTTTGTTATGGTGTTAGTTTAACTATTTTGTTATTGTGAAATATTTTGTGCTAACCCATATTTATATTGATTAATAGACATGAATCACGATGATGATGATGGTGCACACATAAATCAAATGTTAGATGATGTCACTGCTCTATTGTAGACACCCCATCTCATTTTGACCGGTCTTAAGATTTGAGCGTTTTTCTTCAAACACCTGATGATTAAAATTGGAATGTGCTATTTTATAAATTTCTCCGCAGAAAAGTCGGGTATAAGTTTTAATTCAAACCTTACACCTGTTTCAGCAAAATTATTTTAGACTTATTCAAAAATATTTTTTTGAATTTTTTCTTTTCTAGAATATTTAGTAGTTTTGAAAAATTAGTTCTTAGAGATATCGCATGGCTAGCCATGTGTTTTTGGTGTTTTAGAAGTCTATAAATACATCCTCATTTTGTTGTTAGGAAAAAGGAAAAAAAGAGAAAAAATTTTGAGAAAGAAAATTTTGTTTCAAAAAGAAGACAAAAATTTTGGCTAAGAGAATTTTTTATAAAAAAATCTTGAGGGAGATTGATTTTGAAAAACCTTAAGTTATTTTGAGAGCAAGAGAGTCTTTTTAACAATATAAAATTCCATTAAAACTAGAACTTGAAATATCTCGCTGAAATTTCAAAGTACACACCATAACTATGAGGATGTAAAGAAGAAAGTTTGTTAATCAGAAAATTCACAATGTTCTCCAAAAGTGAATTTTTGCAGTCCTCTTATTTATTTTCTTATATTTTCTTTATTGTTTTAAATATGTGATATTTAGGTTGTAGAAGTGGAAGATTAAGCCAGTGTTCCTTAGATTTCTTCTTATTTATTTTCTTATATATTTAGAATATGTGATATAAATATGTAATTGAAGTTATAAAGACTTTCTCATTGAAAGTGTTAAAAGCTCTCTTCTCGACCAATTTTGAACATAGAAATAGATTTTACATACATATTTCATTAGTAAGAAGATGAGTTTTTTAACTACTTTTGATGAGTTATATGTATTTTTCCCTATTTCTTTTCTATTTTCTTAGAAGTCCTATATGTAGACGCCCCATTTTGACATTCCTTAAGACTTGGGCATTTCATTCTGAACACCCGATGATGAAATGTTACATTGTGCAATCTTTCGAATTTTCAACAAAGGAATTCGGTTTCGAGCTTTAAACCCAAACCTTGAACCATTTTTTGACCAAAACCCTTTTTTCTAACCTGACCACTTAGAGAGCAACAGGCCAATTGATTGGCTGGTAAGCCATTTCCTTTGGGCTGGTTGTACAATTGATTGGCCGACCGGCCATGTTTAGTGTCATATTCTATATTTGTAGCACAGGTTGCTCCTATGCACAAGATTTGTCATGCGGTCTTTTTCTAAAGATATTTCTGACGCGAAAAGCTAAAATTCTATAAATAGACCACCTCACCTCAGAGTTCAGGGTTAGAAAAATTATCCCAAAGGCTTAGAAGATTGCCCAAAGCATTTCTCTACCCTATTGAATATAGATACACTATAGATACATCATTGAAGCTCAAACTTGAAGCTTTTTGCTAAAGTTTTGAATCTTATTTCAGATACTTGAGGGTGTTTGGATTGAAGTTTGCTAACTAAGAAGCACTTCCTCTTACCAAGAGGTTAACCTTTGAACTCCTTTCATCACATTTTCTTTTACTCTTTTGCTCTTCATTTCTTGTCAATACATACTGATATTCAAAGTTATTTTAGGCTCAAAAACTTTGTTAAAGGTGGAAGGGTCACTCTTCCATAGGCTTATTCATTAGTTGTATTCCCTTTGTTTTCTTTTATTCTTTTTCTCTTTTTCTTCATTTCTTTTGGACAATTTTAACATTGTTTTAAGTTGTTTTTGTGTGATATGAACTGAATATGGGATTATAAAATGGTCGTCGTCCTCTCCAATACATGACTTCTTACTTTATATGCTTTGAATACTATGTTTGCATTGTTGTAATAGCATAATAGCCCTCATGGATTTGGCGTGTTTAGGAGCCACCAATCCATTTGAGTTGATCGTTTTACTTGGATTCTTATAGCTTTCCTTATGTATATTGGAACCTTGTGGTCATGGGAGGTTTAGAGCTTAGCTACCCCACCATAAGTTTGATTAACTAGCTATAAATTTCTTACTTTCATACTATTGTTGTTCACCTTGAAACTAGGTAGTAGCTTCCGTGTCAAAAGTGTTGAGAAACTCTTTTCTCGATCATCTTCAAAACATGGAAATGAATGTCTCATCCTTGTTCCATGAATAAAAGAGGAGTTATCAACAATTTTTGACGAGCTGTGTGTTTAAAGCTTTAAATAGTTAGCTTGATTTTTTGATTTTCTCTCTTTTCTTCTTTAAAGTGTTATAAGCTCTCTTCTAGTTCCATTTTTGAAGCATGGAAATGAATGTCTCATCCTTATTCCATCAGAAGGAAGATGAGCATGCAACAACTTTTTATAGCTTTCATTCATTTACTTAGTCTTGCTTTTGTTTTACTTTGAAGCGAAATGAGAGCTCTTTCATCGGAAGAACTAGAAATTCTCTTCTAGTTCCATTTTGAAGCATGGAAATGGATATCAATCCATGTTCCATGAGTAGGAAGAAGAGTTTCTAAGTTCTTTCTTCAATGATTTAACCTCTTGTTTACAAGCTTTACTTTCAAAGATGGTTTTCTCTAACCTATTCTCTCCTAATTTGAGTACTCATTTACTCTTATTCACTATGAGATGTAGTATGTTCCAACCATTCTTTGAATGATTTTCTTTTCGTTTATTTTTTTTTTTAGTTTTTGTTTCGTACTCATTAAATTTTCCATCCTATTGCTTCATTAATCATCATGTAACACCCTTGGGATGTTTGATGATTTGTGAAGCAAACCTATTTCCTTTTTGAATATCTTCATGATAGAAGGGAATAGGAAGGATGAACATCCTTTGGAAATCCTCTATTTGCTTTGTGCTAGTTCTGTTGTAGCAGGTTTTCTAGAATCAGTGGCTGGCCAGCCAGTCAAGTGTACGGCCAACCAATTCATCAGGCCGACCGACCAAATCTTTTGTATGGTAAGTGTGGTTATTCAACTAAGTAGAGTAGATCCTAAGGTCAAAATAGAATTGTTTTCTGGCTATGAACAGGGCAATTTCTGGAGGCAGACAGAGAGGTTTCCAGAGGATATTTTTGCTTACACGCACGCGGCTTCCCGCCTTTCATTCAACTTCTTTAGATTCATCGCTCAAAAATTTGTATTTGTAATAATTCATTCATTCATTTGTGTTTGTAATAATTAGTTAATTAGGACATTCGGACCCTCTTGTAAAGAGGAAAAATTTGTAATATTTGATGATTGTCTTCCAACTCCCATTTCTTTCTCCCTTTTATTTACATGCTTACCGTGGTTGTATACAGTATCATGTTTTCCTTTATCATTCCCATGCTTCGTATTCATTTTTGCATGCATTAAAGTTCGGCTCATCATACTTGATGTCGTTATCATTTCCTACTTGATCATGTGCGCTACCTCATGCTTTGAGTTGATTCAGATGTCATGTTAGTAGCCGAATCTAGTAGTTGCATTTTTTTATGTGTTGTATTAGTCATTTTGCATATTAGGATCATGCATTTTTTCTAACTATCTTTTTTTTTTTTTTTTTTTTTCGGCTTGCCACAGTTAAGTACTAGGTGAGCATTTTTGCTTAGCATATCAATATCGTGTGTTTGTGTACTACGTTGAGAATACTACTATGAGGCTACTTGCTGTAGACACTCTATTATTTTGGACTGACCTTAAGAACTCAGACGTCACCCGATTAGACGACGCTCAGTGATGATGCATAATTAGATGTCTCGTATACTGAGGTTTCGGAAGCTCTCGACTGAAGAGCCTTGATCCTCAGACTTTTGGATGGCTCTTTGTGCTCTTATGTGCCTGACGAGGTTTATGCGAATCAGGTTCTCTGTATTTCTCAGCTTTCTACATCATACCACGAACGGAATGGAGAGGTCTTCGTAGATCATCTCTTCAGTGCGTAGGCTACGTTTCGTGGTACGTAGGCCATTTTTTTCCCGTTTGGAAGATCTTTCAGTTTCTTGGTTTTTTCAGGGCAGACCGTCGGAAAATCCAAGTTAGTGCCTCGAGGTTCGCTACCGACCGCAATTAACTACCCTCCGTATATCGCTAATCTGAACATTAATTTGGCTACAACACCTTGCTTTCCCCCTTAAGGGACACTGTCGGCCCTTGGGAGACACCTTCGGGATCGCTACGCCACTTCTGGCGCTTTAACAAGTCAGTTTTCGGGGCCTCCGGCTCGCGTTTTGGCCCCAGATAATCATCCTCGTTTTGCATCGGTTAGGGTTCATTCTATTGGCATGAACCCTAGTTTCATTTGTTAGGCGTAAAGGTGTAAGCAAGGGTGGGAGACCAAACATTTTCTCTTGGAACCCAGCTTTCTCCTTGGAGACCACTTTTCTCTCTCCTCTAGCCAGTTTCCTTGTCAGGAAATTGGTCTGCCCTCACTTTTGGGCATAATTTCTGGTTTCCCATATCACCATTGTTTGTATTCACCTGGGAGGCCACCAAATATGGGTTGGCCGACCACCCTTTGGTGATTGACCCTTTGACATTCTTTGAAAAGCTGGTTTT